GCATCTTAACTGCTGTGCCAAATGCCTGCCCTGGCAGCTACTTCTGGTTCTGTGTGAAGACCCTTCTTTCCCTGCCAGCTCCTCTACACTGGGCACTCTTCAGAGCCTGGGCTGCATTGCTGTCTCAGCTCTCTGATACCATGTATAACTAATAGCTTCCCAAAGTCTACGACAGTCGATATTGGTGAATTTGTGTATGGGGGAAAATTTGCTTACAATCCCAAAATCATTAGAGCTAGCACCTGGGCAACGATTTGTGGCCACACAGAGTGGCAAAACCATTTGAGTTACCCACTGTGCATGTTCCCAGCTGAGGTCCAGCAAGGCAGTGCTACCTCTTCTTGTTTCAGTTCTCACACTGGAAACAAGGGTCCTTTCTGGGATCTATTTAGTACTTCTGTGCTTTTTACGGGTGGCTTCCCTTTGTAAAGTGGCCCCAAGCACAATGCTCAAGGACTGTGTCATGCTCCTAGTGTGAGGAGGCTGTGATGGGCCTTATGGAGAGAGCACATACGGTGGAGTGAATCAGCAGTGTGCTTGTACACTCAGTAAGGAGACTTCCAACAGAAATGAGAACCCACGGTCACGTGCTGATCCCTGATGTTCGTGTTGTGACAGGCTCGCAGGAACCGCGCCCTGCACTTCCCCTAAGAGGCACGGGTCAGCTTTCACTGATCCACACCTGCACTGACTACAGAACAGAGCTCCTGTGAACAGTGCGGGCTGAGGAACCTAAGCCCTGAAGCTCTGTTTTTTCCATTCAGTTCCAGCTGTGTACACATAATCACCTACAAGAGCCTGGGGTGCGCCTCACACTGCACAGTCCCATCGTCACAGATGCAGTCCTCTTCTTCCCATCACCCTCTGGAACACCGCACACACATCACACACGTTGCTCGTCCTGAGCCAGCTGTCCCCACAGGAACACCATCAGTGACCGCAGTTCTCAAAGCCAAAACTTAGAAGTTCTCCTGGATTTCCCCCTTCATATTCCCTATGTAATTGAGGAGCACATCCTGACAATCCTGCTCTTTGATCTGCGGATTCCTTTCCTTCTCTGCTTCCCTCTGCCACGCTCTCCTGTTTCAGGCCTCTCTCATGCTCCAACCAGAGTGATGACAACAGCCTCCTAAGTGATCTTGCCCAGTCCCGCTCTGCTGCCACCCAGATTCTGCTGAAAGACACCGCTCTTTGTTAGTAGGCATGTTTCTGCACAGAGCCTCTCCCTTCTCTCTCAGCTTCAGCAGCTTCCCAGTTTGTCCCTCACTTCACTTCTGCCACACAAGCTTTCAGTGGTCCTTCTAAGTCACACTGTGTCACGTCTCCACAGGCCTACAACTTCCTGTCACAACCGCAGTAAAAGACAAGGTCCTGGGGCTGGCACAGTGACATAGTGGGCTAAGCCTCTGCCTGCAGCACCCACATCCTCCGTGGGCACCTGTTTTAGTCCCAGCTGCTCCTCTTCTGATCCAGCTCTCTGCTATGGCCTGGGAAGGCAGTAGAAGATGGCCTGAGTGCTTGGGCCCCTGCACCTGTGTGGGAGACAAGGAAGACAATCCTGGCTCCTGGCTTCGGAACAGCTCATCTCCGGCTGTTGCAGCCACTTGGGGAGTGAACCAGCAGATGGAAGACCCCTCTCTCTTTATCTCTCATAAAGTTCACTGAAAATAGATCTTAGTAAAAAGTAAGACTGGGAACAGGAGAGGGAGGAGGAAGAGGGGTCGGAGTGTGGGTGGGAGGGCGGGTATGGTGGGGAGAATTACTATTTGCCTAAAGTTGTATTTATGAAATACATGCAAATAAATAAATATCTTAAAAAAAATAAAAGGTTCTTGCAGGACCTACTAAGCCCCAGCCCCATGTGATCAGCACCGCCACAAGCTCCCTGACCTTATCTCCCCTTGCTCACTGCACTCTGGTCTCCCTGGCCTCCTGGCTCTCCCTCTAATGTGTCGGTCACCTGACTGGTGGCCCTTCCTCGGGGAGCTGGAAGGCTAAAATATCCACCACTCAATTCATTCTGCTCCATTAACAGAAATTACACCTTCCTCTCCAGTCTGCCGAGACCGCCAGCCCCTGTAGCTCTCTGCTGATGTCCATACCTTCAAGTTCTCCTTTGGGTTTTCCCTGTAGGCGGGGTAGGGGGGAGCCTCTGTGACAGCTGTGTCCTTCACTTCCGTGTCCCTGGCACTTAGAATAATGCCTGGCACACTATTAATATTCAACAGGTATTTGCTGACTGAATGAGCAAGTGCCGAAAATCTGTAGGCAGTTCCCTGATGCCTTAAGAATAAGCTCCAGACTCCTCCATATCACCTCTCAGTTGACAGTGGCCACCTTCTTTCTTAAACCACACATTTCAGCTAAAATGAGGCACAGATGTTTTCTAGAAGCATCTTGTAGCTTCCACTGTCTCAAATCGCTGTCATGCCCACCACCCTGTTCCCTTTTTGCTTGGCCGCATCATGCATCCAGGCTCAGCTCGGGGCCAGCTCCTTGGGCAGCCTTTCCCTGTGGCCTGCACCTCCCACAGCATCACTCCTTGGCAGCCAGTTCAAAACATAACCACTCTGCCGGGCGCCCTCTAGTTCAAAAGGCTCTTGTTGGGGAGCAGGGCTTCATCTAATTAATCTTTTAAAACAAAGATTTATTTATTTGAAAGGCAGGACAACACACGTGTGCATACACACACACATACACGGGGCTGGGAGTAGGGTTGGAAATCAATCTTTCATCTACTGGTTCACTCCCCAAATGCCTGCAACAGCCAGGGCTGGCCCAAGCTGTAGCCAGGAGCCTGGAACTCCATCTGGGTCTCCCACCTGTGTGGCAGGGACTCAAGCACTTGAGCTGGGATGGGCATCAGTAGGAAGCTGGATTGCAAACAGAGGTGCCAGGACAAACCAGCCATCTGAAATGGGATGTGGGTGTCCCAAGTGGCAGCTTAACTGCTGTACAACAATGCCCTCCTCTAATTCATCTTTTGATTGCCAGATTTTAACATGACATTTGGTGTCTAGTGTATGTCAATAAAATGTATGGGGTGAAGGGTCATTTAAAACAATGCAATTGGGAGCCGGTGCTGTGGCGCAGTGGGTAAACTCACCACCTGCAGTGCTGGCATCCCATATGGGTGTCAGTTCAAGTCCCAGCAACTCCACTTTTTTTTTTTTTAAGATTTATTTTACTTGAAAGAGTTACATAGAGAGAGGAGGAGAGGCAGAGAGAGAGAGAAAAGAAGAAGAGGAAGAGGAAGAAGAGGAAGAGGAAGAGGAGGAAGAGGAAGAGGAGGAAGAGGAAGAAGAAGAAGAGGAAGAAGAAGAAGAGGAAGAAGAGGAAGAGGAGGAAGAGGAAGAAGAAGAAGAGGAAGAAGAGGAAGAGGAAGAAGAAGAGGAAGAAGAGGAAGAGGAAGAAGAGGAAGAGGAGGAAGAGGAAGAGGAAGAGGAGGAAGAGGAAGAAGAAGAGGAAGAGGAAGAAGAGGAAGAAGAAGAGGAGGAAGAGGAAGAGGAAAAGGAGGAAGAGGTCTTGAACTGGTGCCCACATGGGATGCCAGCACTGCTATACCACAGCACTAGCCCCAGCTGCTCCACTTCTGATCCAGCTCTCTGTTATGGCCTGGAAAAGCAGTGGCCCCCCTGTACCCACATGGAAGACCCAGAAGAAGCTTCTGGCTTCGGATCAGTGCAGCTCTGGCTGTTGCAGCCATCTGGGGAGTGAACCAGCGGATGGAAGACTTTCTCTGTCTCTACCTCTCTGTAATTCTGCCTTTCAAATAAATAAATCTTTTTTTAAAAATGCAATTAAGATAAACTCTTGGCTATCTAAACAGATTGCTCATGTCACTGGTCCAACCAATGAGTCTAAATAAATTACCAGACTTTGCTGATCAGTTCAATCTATGAAATGAGCATTTAATGACAATTCCTGTGATGATCCTGTAATTTATGGAAAGTGTTTTAAGTGTCAGAGGGTAGCACATAAGAAGAAAGTATAGCAAGTAAAATTATCCCAATTTCACCTATCATACTTCTAAACCTATGTTCTTGAAGTCTCATCAATGAGAAATTATTAACATGAGGAACAAAACAGTTCTATAAAGCACCATACTTACTAACAGTTAAAATTTAGTATTTTAAATAGTTTTTCTGTTATAATCATACTTCAGAATAAACTACAAACATCTAGGTTAAAAACCAGCCTCCTAAAAGATGTATATATTTAACAAGTAAATAGAAAAAAAGCAAGAGGCTCAGAGATCTCATATAATCACCAGGAAGTCTACTTTATAATCGGAATCCCAAGAGTTCAGGAAGTTACCTATGTACCAGTGATGAACAAAACTCTACCCCGTGCCGAAGAGATGAAACAGTTACCAGAGAGTCTCACTTAGATCATAGCAGTCACACTCAGACCTCCAAACCCCATCCTGTAAACATATTAACTGAAATCCCTAAAGTGTTTTTCCAATAAAAAGACTGATACTTCAAATCAATGGAGGGTAGCCAGGAACTGACTCCATCCTTCATCAAACCCAATACATATATACACACCCACAATTCTGAATAGGATTACATTATTGATGTTATTCAAGTCTGAAGGGATACTTGAGATAATACTATCCATCATTTATACAGCATTATTATGTTGAATGCTTATGATAATTCTACGGGTCTTTACTATTATATTTTAAGATGAGGAAACGAACCTTTGAAGAGAGTAAGCTTGCTCATGGTAGCACTTATAGAAAGCCTGGAGTTTATAAAGTCCATAGACACCAAAGCCCAGATTAGTGAAAACAAACCACAACCAAAACATTCATGCCAACAGCATGTGGAATTTTTAACCTGAAGCCATCATAGCAAATCCTTGCATACCATGAAATCATTAAGACTGTAACACTAGCTACTGCTGACATGTGTCTGTTTTTCTCTATGCTCTGTGACACATGGAGTTATCTAGGAAGGGAGTGTTCACAGAACTTACAGTCACGGCAGACTTACCTAAGCTTGACCTAGTGTTGGATCTTTCTATTATTGCATGCTTACTGGGGTTGTTTAACACTGAGCGTTTGGCAAGCGAGATATCAGCAGTGACCCTTGTGATGGATATCCTGTGGGGGAAAAAAGAAACAGAAAACCCTAAGGTCATTAAGGGAGCCAAAGAGTGCAGAATATGTATACACAGAAACCGTATGTTAGGACAATTCATCATTCATTTTTGTCTATCTTAACCTTTATCGGTTGCTTACCAGGTGGCAGGTATATACTAAATGCTTTACCTGAGTTCTCTCATTAAACCATCTGAAAAATGCCAGGAGAGAGGTTTAAAATTAAACTTCTGCTGATGAAGAAAATGAGCCACAGTTAGAATATTTATCCAAAACTGTGCATATACTAAGGGGTGGAGCTGGGATTTGAACATCCATACCCAAGCCTATATTCTTAGCCTCTTCGCCATCGTTTGAGTCTGTGATAGGCATGAAGAATAAATTAAACAATAAAATGAGGGCCTCCATCCGAGAGCTCACAGTCTAGTGGCAGGGATGAAGAACATAATAATAAAATTACTAAATGACTTGTGAAAAGAACACACAGGGCATTGTGACAAACAATACTGAGATGAAATATTTTAGATAGGGTAGAAATGAAAGCAACAAAATCTAAAAGCTGGAAATCGTGAATAATTTAGACAAGACTGAATGTTCAATTCAGCAGCAGGAAAAGTTATGAAGCAAAACTGAGAGCTCACAGTATGTCTGAAGAGGGTGGCAAAGGCGGGACTACAAACAGGTACGGTTTACAAGTCCATTTCAATACCAACTAGCCAACTAACAATTCTTTTTCCTATATAATAAAGGACCACAGGTTTATTATCTGCAGGGAATGAAAGAGAGGGCCTCTGGCCAGGTGACCCTGGGCAGAGCACAGAGGGGATGCTCTAGACCAAAGAAAGGAGTCTGAAAGCTGAGCCACCAACTTTTCCCCTCCAGCTTAGAATTTTGATAGCCAGGCTGACACTCCTCCAGGTGTCAGACTGGAAGAGTCTTCTCTGGGGTATATGACTGTGTCAAACAGTAAGGATCCAGATGTTCTGGTCTGCGATATTTCCTTTTTAAACTGCACATCAAGATTGTCCTACAGGGAAGCCCAAGTCCTTTAAGCTCCACCTATGAGCCCAGAGCTTCCAGTTAGGTATTTCGTGCCCCACTGTTAAACTTGAGCATGGCAGTGTTCACCAGGCATTTCAGGAAAACCTCTAACTTGAGACCCCAGAACAGGAAAATCCACTGTGACCAATATTTATAGTTGAAAGCCAAGAAATCATTAATGTATGAAACTAGAACAAATGTCTGTTTTAAAACTCAGAATCAGCTTTAGGAAATTAACAATATGACAGAAATGCAATTTCAAAAGAAGGGTTAGAAGATATAAGGTTATCTCCCAAAGAGAAACCAAAAAGACAGAGTTGAAATAGAAGAAAAGAAAAATCAAAGCACTATCTAAGAGATTAAAATTCCAAATAATAGGAGTTCAGAAAAAAGAGAATCAAGACAGAAAAAACTAAAAACAGCATTTCACAAGGAAGGATGAGGTTTTTCATATTGAAAAGGTCCCGTACAGTAGTTGAAAGAGCCACACCAACACTTGTTCTTAATAATTTCCTAACACTGGGGACAAAAGGAACCCTAAAAGCTTTCAGAGCAAAAATGGGGCGCCGGATTCTGTCCCGGTTGCCCCTCTTCCAGGCCAGCTCTCTGCTGTGGCCAGGGAGTGCAGTGGAGGATGGCCCAGGTGCTTGGGCCCTGCACCCCATGGGAGACCAGGAGAAGCACCTGGCTCCTGCCATCGGATCAGCGCAGTGTGCTGGCCGCAGCGTGGCGGCCACGGCGGCCATTGGAGGGTGAACCAATGGCAAAAGGAAGACCTTTCTCTCTGTCTCTCTCTCTCACTGTCCACTCTGCCTGTCCAAAAAAAAAAAAAAAAAATGTCTCACACAAAAGGTCAGGAATTGGAATGCTTATACCTCTCAATAGCAACAACAGAAACCAGAAGACCACAAACATTTAAACTACTAACTAAAGAAGGTTGATTAAGGATATTTTTAGGGATTCAAGGTCTTGCTTTTTAATATACTCTTTCTAGGGAGACTATCGGAGAATGTTTTAATTTTTCAAAAGGATTTATTTACTTGAAAATCAGAGTTACACAGAGAGAAGGAGAGACAGAGACAGAGAGATAGAATCTTCCGTCTGCTGGTTTACTCCTCAGATGGCTGCAACACCAGAAGCCCGGAACTTCTTCCAGGTGTCCCACGTGGGTGGCAGGGGCCAAAGCATTTGGGTCACCTGCTGCTTTCCCAGGCCAGTTAGCAGGGAGCTGGATGAGAAGTGGACCCAGCAGGGCTCGAACTGATGCCCATATGGGATGCCAGTACCACAGGCAGCGGCTTTACTAAACCATCAAAAGCTTCTAAGAGATAAAAGGAACTATGGAAAAGGAGCACCAGCTCACAGGTGAAAGGGAAGCCTAGGGACCCTGAAGATGTTCCAGAATGACACACAAAACACAGAGAAATGGTCCAGACTGCAGCCTGCTGGCAGCAGTACCAAATCTGGTGTTTAAAATGTCGTTTGGGACACCTACATCCCTATTAGAGTGGCTGGGCTGGAGACCCGGCTCTGCTTCCGAGTCCAACTTCCTGCTAACGTTTACCCTGCGAGGCAGCAAGTGACGGCTTGGGTAACTGGGTCCCTGCCTCCTATCTGGAAGACACAGATTGCATTTCCAGCTCCCACTTTTGGCCTGATGCCGCCCTATCTGCTGTGGGTATTTGGGGGAGTGAACCAGTGGATAAAGGATCGCTTTCTGTTGCTCTCTCTGCCTGTGGAATAGACAAAAATATAATTTTTAGAAAGGGAAATCATAATTTTTGTTGGCACCATATTTAGTATTCATTGTAACCATGTGAGTAATATTCAAATGAGCCATGTCATATATTTTAATCCCTACTTATTGTGTGTTTTCTTTGTGGTTTCCATGCCAAATAATTTTGATTCATATTTTGGCTTAATTTTCTATATGTTATGAATTCATCCTCAAATTTTTTCCCACCCGTTATCTCAATCTCTTCACAGGGTATTCAGATACATCCAGTGGTCTTCCTGGGAGACTGCAGGATGACAGGTGCAGTTGTCTGCATGGGAAAGAGGATGGATATGCATAATAGCTCTATATTCTGTAGGTGGGAGTCCACAGGTAAAGCCTACCACTGAAAACACAGTAACAAATCAGACACTTCATTTGAATTATTTATTTGTTTGAAAAGTGGAAAGACACAAGAGATCTTCTATCTGCTGGTTCACTCCCCAAATGTCTACAACAGCCTGGGCAGGGCAGGGCAAGGCCAAAGCCTGGAGTCCAATCCAGGTCTCCCACATGGGTGGCAGGGACCTAAGAACTTGAGTCCTTACCTACTGCCTTCATTGGTGCATGTTAACAGGAAGCTGAAAAGAGAAGCAGAGCTGGGACTGCAAACTAGGCACTCTAATGTGGGATGTGGGGGCCTCAAATCTTAGGAGCTGGGCTAAACATTTTATTTAGATGCAAGGAACACATATGGAAAGATATGGCTGAAGAGTTAAAAGCAGTTACTATCTGGAGAGCATAGCATGTGATAAAGCATAGAAAGTGACTACTGGCTTTTGGGGAAAAATAGATATTTATCCATATACCCAAAAATGTATCCTTTTGGATTCCCAGTTCCATGAATTTGGACCAGTTCATATGAGTTCCATATCAGATTCATGATGCAGAGTCAGTCCTTGATATCTCCCTCCACTTCCCGGGTGCTGCCCTTTATAATAAAGTCCATCTTCCCTCTCACCCTCCTCCTGGCAACCACAGAGCTATTTCTTGCCCCTTTATGGTTTTGACTTTTCCAAAATATCATCTAAGTGGAATCATACATATGTAGTCTTTTTTTTTTTTTTTTTGACAGGCAGAGTGGACAGTGAGAGAGAGAGACAGAGAGAAAGGTCTTCCTTTGCCATTGGTTCACCCTCCAACGGCCGCCACAGCCAGCATGCTGCGGCTGGTGCACCGCGCTGATCCGAAGCCAGGAGCCAGGTGCTTCTCCTGGTCTCCCATGGGGTGCAGGGCCCAAGCACTTGGGCCATCCTCCACTGTACTCCCTGGCCACAGCAGAGAGCTGGCCTGGAAGAGGGGCAACCGGGACAGAATCCGGCACCCCGACCAGGACTAGAACCCGGTGTGCCGGCGCCGCTAGGCGGAGGATTAGCCTGTTGAGCCGCGGCGCAGGCCCATATGTAGTCTTAAGAGTTGTGTAGCTCAATAGTTCTTTTATATTGCTGAGTGGCACTACTATTTTAAATAACTTCTATTTTATTTTTATGTTTTGTTACTTAGATTAAAAAATTATTTAGCATTTAAAAAGCCACTACTGTAAAATGCTGAAGCTGCCAATTTAAAAAATAGTTTCATTATCATTGCACAGTGCTTTCACATGAAATCCGACTATAGGTAGGGGCATCCAATGCTCAGTAATTAGTTAAGTGCTCTTATTTATTCAGGGTCAGCACAGTGGGGTGCAGTGATACTACCCGGGAAGCCACAGCTGTAATCACGCTGAGCACCTGGATGGCCAACGTGAGAGACCTTCACTCACCATGTTTCCTGAGTGCCTACACCGTGGCCATCATTATTCTGCATGCTATCACAGGACTTGCATGTGTGTGCGTGTGTGTGTCTGGAGTACAGAGTGGAGGGAAGCAAACATGTATCTGATGTTAGATGGTAGTTAGTGCCATTAAAAATAATGACCGGACAATGGGACAGAGGGTGGGGTACTGGGCAGAGTATATTTTTTAGTGTTCAGAAGTAATCTCTCAGGTAAGGTGGTATTTGGTCAGATGCAGGGAGGGAGGGAATGAGTGATGAACATATTGTGGGCAGGGTGTTCTGGGAGGAAAGAAGGGCGAGAACCTCAATTGCGGGGCAAGGACAATGGCAGCTGTCTGGGTCCCCAAGCCCTGTGGATGAGCAGAGACTGCAGCTGTGCCTCACAAGAGCGCTGGACACGGCCTGGGAGGCA